AGTACTTCGTTTAAACGAATCCATTTAACTCACAGAACAAGTCGTTAAGGGAATTAGAAATCGAGTTTATTACTGAGAAATTACTTTTGGTATTAGCATGCTAAAATATAAATTACTTTTGACTTTTCAGTTTGTTTTTGTCCGCAAACAAAACGCAATCGTTTTTAGGTAATGCAAGCTATTGCTTGCGTCCGCGTGAAATTAAATAAATAATAAAAAAACATATGTCATGTTACTCATTAATAATGTAGCTTTTTAATAGTAAGAGATTTTTTAAAATAGTTCCATTACTTTTTATGATATTACAATTTACAATACATACCAAAATATAAAACTTTTCTCTTTATAATCTAAACTAATATAATAATGCATAAACACACACTACTTTGTGGCGTAAGATATCAGCAATCACAGTATATTTTTGAATGATTATTTCTTTAATATAAAGCTGTACAAACACGTCACGCTTTAGGCTGTATATTTTGACGCTTGCAAACTTAGGAGTACATAAATTGGATGAAAACCTTAATGTGGGAAAGAGACCATAAACTACAAGCTGCCAACATGACGGAAGTAAGATTGCCATGGTTTGTCATCATGATATGTCATGATATTTGCAATTGATAATTTGACGAAATTAATAATAACAAAATATTCATAATTTCATACGGATGGAACCACCGGGAACAGCTAGTATTAGTATAAATTTAACAAGTTGAAGTTGAAATAGGTTAATATTTTTACTCATTGTTTAAAAGTCTTGAAAGAAAATAATTAACATATGACCATTACATGTCCACACGTTAAATCTAGCTGTATTAATTACTTAATGCTTTTAACGAACTCATATCTTTATCTAATAATTACAACACTACTAAGTTTGATTGACGTGCCGTATAAGTAATTGACCTATTCCTATAGCACGTCCTATCAAGTAAGCTTAATCTTCGAATGACTATTAATCAAAGTGCTTTCGACGAAAACGTTTCACAACACGGTTGTGGTCGACTCGGTCAATTGCACTATTACGTTGCAGAATTGCCCTCTTGTAATAGCAATGTTTGTATTCTAAATTGAACTTTATTGTCAAGCAATTGAACTTTAATTGTCATCTATGCTGTTATAAATCTGCATCGGTTGTTTTTAAGAAATATTGTTTATACGACTAGATCATGTTACGTAGTTGTATGCATTTTAATTGTTTGTTACGTAAATTAACAACAATACATGTTTTATTTATGAGTCAGACAGATCTAATGTATTTTGTATAAATGAATACTAGCTTTTGCTCGCGTTTTTTCGCGTGGAATTAAAAAAAAAAAAACAAAAGTGAGTGAAAGGTGAGTAGCCTATGTGTTCTTCCAGACTATCCTCTACATCTATACTAAATTTCATCGAGATCCGTTCAGCCGTTTGGGCTACAAGCTCTAACAACCATCCATCCATCCATCTAAATTTTCGCATTTATAATATTAGTAAGAAGTAAGGTGAATATTTTTGTTTTTACTTTGACACCGTCTGGTATAAAACTCTAATACAGACTAGATTATAATAGCTCTAATATTTATATCCACGTTTCTCGCCAACGAGAGTAAGTCACTTATGGACTTCGGTTCTTGAATGGTCACTTATGGACTTCAAGAACCGAAGTCCATAACTGACTCTAAAGTGACCATAGCGTCAGTGACTTAACCTTAGTCTAATATTAAGAAAACCACGTACTTTAAAATTAAAAACACCATTGTTACTGAAGCACCGTTATTTTTAAACTAAAGTAAATGCGGCGTTGTTTTACGTCATTTTTACAACTGCATGCGAATTTATTGCTGTGAAATACGGCCCCACGCCGACGCCGTATTTCAAACGCTGGCCGACTAAAATATAGCGTTAAAATATCAATGAGCATTACGCAATACGGAGCGCCAATTAAAGTTGGAACGTATAAATAAACACGTGTGGACATGGAGCTAATAAAGAGAATCGGTTGAACTAGACGTAGACCTTTTACTATGCTTAGAACATTGATAATGCAGCCAATTTACAAATAATATTGTTTTGTACTATACACCTCTATAAACAATTCGTTTCTCTTTAACATCCTTACCTTATGTGAAAGAAAATTTGCAAAGAAACTAGTTAGTAAACCATAAAACCGACTAAAATCAGTTTAAACAGAACAGATGGATTGTGCAGTTTAAATATGGTGTTAAGCAGTGGTAGGGCCCGCTTTAACATCTTCGCACGAATTGGCCGGCTCGCCCGGTGTAATACAACGACCTCACAGAAGACAGGCGTGAAATGGAAGCAATTCCGTGTTTTGTCTGATGAGTGTGGTGCCGTGTGATATTGGTGGATTCAGGTGGCCGGTTGCTCGTTTGCCACCTTATGTTATAATAAAAATTAAGGAGCCAAACTCAAAACAAAAAACTTAAAAAGATTTAGTTAAATCTGAAGGATTAAATTTTCACCTTACTCGAATTCTATATTAACTAAATTGTGTAAGCTTTGTAAATTATATTAATAACTCTTATGTACGGTTCCAATATAGATCAGAATTGTGGAACCATTCGAGTTTGAGTACGCAGTTGTGTTTGAGAGGCTGTTACTGTGTCGGTTGTAACTCGTAAAGTGCTGTCGAATTTAAATGCACATGCGAGCTTTGTGCTTTGCTGTTACTCGTAGTAACAAATGCAATGAACCACTGACCTCTATAGATACGAATAGTTCGTTTGAAAAGAGCTTTTTCGTCCCGACCTAAAAGCTTCTGTTAATGTTACTGGCTGTTAATTCTATCATTAGTTTAAAACTTCATCACCGCCTATGTGCCAATTTGATCGCAGTCTATTTACTGACAAAGTATGGCTTGCAGTCTGTCAAATAATTGTTAAAGTCAGTTATAAGAACTTAATTCCGACATTTTAAGAACAGTTAACACTGTCGGAGACAATAATATTAACTGAAATTATCAAACGAATTTAGCTTCGCATATTAAAAAGATGCATTAATATTAATATTTTAGGTAATTAAATATGGAAATAAGACGTAAGTTCGTTTTTAAAATGGGATTTCTCTTTATAAAGACTTCGTACAAAGAGGGTAGATAATACTGTTCCACGTCGCGCCTAACAAGGCCTTCGAGTTGAATATCAGAGCGGCATGCGGTTGGTTTCATTTTATTAAGGCGCTTTACAGTACAATGGCTCCATTTGAAGTATGTCATGCCAATACATTTGATAAGAAATATGTTGGCCAAGTTTATTTCTATTTTCCTTTACTTTTTATATTATTTTGTACTGTAAGGGTCCTTCTGTATTTATTCTAAATGTTTCATACCGAACTAGATTTTGTTAGTAGCTTATGTTTTCTTCCAGACTATACTCTACATCAATGCTAAATCATCAAGATCCGTTTAACAGTTTAGGCGGCAGACTCAAACCATTCATCCATCAATACTTTCGCATTTATATTATTAAGGCTCGAACGTACGAAACGGCTCTTAAAACTAGTTTCTAAATAGACCCACTGATTGTTGAGTATATTGTGTTACGTACATAATGGGACAATGCTCTTTAACGAGCGTACCAAAGGTGTGCTAACTTAAAATGGAACATGTCACAGTAGCTATTTGCTGAAATTAAATATTACATTCTTAAGTAAAATAGCCTATATCTAACTAATCTTAGAGTACTTCCTTTTATTTATTTTACACAAGAACGGAGTCGCCGGCGAAAGCTAGTATTGAACAGATCGATTAAACTCATCTTAAATAAAAGAAGGTCTTAAAATCAGCATCCATTGTAAAGACGATACCTTGTTGACTTCTTATTTCGTGGTTTACATTGAACTATGTGGTAGATTAATATCGGAATGAATTTATATTAGAGTAGCAATGTACTACGTGTTATAAATTAATCTCACAATCCATGTGCCAAACAGCAATCTAGGGAGTGTGAATTACTGATTCGTTAATAGATTACAAGTTGATTGACTTTAATCAATGCTGATTAATGATAATATATGATTTTAATTATCTCCTTTACTTTGCGGCTTTAAAGGTATTCGCCTCGATTGGCGTTAATAAATACGATCTATGTAGAAGTCGTGCATTTATTACTTGATTGATTTATTTAGTATGATTCGAAACAAATTATAGACAAGAATTTTAATTGCATTGAATTTTTGTTCAGTTTTTAAATATAGCCTTTATACATCATACTTCATACTTAATATTATAAATGCGAAAGTTTAGATGGATGGATAGATGGATGGATGGAAAGGATTTCAATGATATTTGGTATAGATGTAGAGGGCAGTCTGGAAGAACACATAGGCTACTTACTTTTGTTTTTTTTTAATTCCACGCGGACGGAGTCGCGGGCGAAAGCTAGTAGTAATATAATCCAATTTAGTTAGATTTTGACTTAAAACTATTTTTCCATAATTTGACGATAAAAAAACTTTAACCATTTGGAAAATGTCCCCTTTTGTGTTGATTTTTTTTGTTTGACAGAAAAGTTGGTTGTTAAATAATTATTAGTTGTTATTCTGTAAGAATTATATAAGACGATGTCCTTTAATATTTATATTTTAATATAAACATAACACATATTTAGTTTATGAATAATTCATAAAGCCAAATAAAGTTTCGCTTAAGTAAAGCGGAGTGCAAATTCTATCCGTCCTTAGTTAGTACATTAATAATGTAATTACGATTTGGTTTAGTGTTTTCAATGTGGATTAACAACATATAATACATCATACTATGACTTCTAACTATATTAAGGCAAACAGAAAATAATAAAGCAACCTTTTTGCTGGACGGAATGGACATTTTATAAATGCCTTCACCCAAAAAAGTTACATTTGCTTAAGTAATACGTCTATTAAACTATTGTAGTTACAGCCAAATACTGAAACGAATAAAACCTCGCTTCGTAAGAGCCGTTTACCATTTAACAGATGACATAATTTTAATGGAATTCGGAGTTTATCTACCCTTATCAGTTAAGACGCTGTAAATATTTGAATCACGTTTCAGTATTCGGCCGTCAGATAGTGTTTTAGAGACACAATCAACTTTCACGTTTGATGTAATGAATAGATTTTTTATTCGTTTAATTATTTTATTGTCCAACTTTGAGTACTAATGCTTCGTGCGCTTCTATGTGTATATTTTCTGCGTCCAAAATGTCCCTGAAAATAAACAAAAATCTTAATATTACAAAGTTATACTTGTTTATCTCAAAGTATTTTATTACTTTAAAACCGCACTGCAAGTGTCTTTGTTTCTAAGATATAGTAATATGGTCTACAATACTTTACTCGTAAATGAATTGTTTGAAGTTCATATTAATATGTTTGTTACGTTAATTGTGAGGTTATATTTCACACGTGTGTGAACTTCGCGAATGTATTCACATGCGGTTACAGAGCCTTTGTGAGACGTACATTTGACTAAAAGCTTGTGAATACATTGATCGCAGTGATGTGCAAAATTTTGTATTAGGTATGATTAATTATTCTATGGATTTTACGAAACATTTTTAAAGTATATCTATGCTTGTTATGAGCTAATATAGGTATTCATACAATTATGGTGCATATTTACCCTTTATTTTTTGGCGAATAAACACTTCCGATAACGACTTCTAAGTTGCCAGCAACATGTTCAAAGTAAGTCAAGTCTAAGTTGTGTATTTTATCTTTGAAATTAATAACCGTTATATAGGATGTCCCATTAAACCATCTAAAAAAAAGTTAATATAATATTTATTCGTAAAACGTAACATCTATAACAAGAAACACATTTAAGAGAAGATAACTCTTATATTTTTATTTTAAGATTATCCTTGACTTTTGAAATTTTAAAGGATTATAATTAGTCCTTATCTTTTAAGTAAATAATCTAGTTATAGTCGTAAATAACATAGTATTTTTTAAAAGCAAACTTACTAAATCTGCACTCAGTACCCAGTATGATACTAAATTCCTAACATTTAAATAAACTCAGCAAATAATTTTGCACCAATCTTCTAATAGGCGTTTACTTTAAACGTTAAGAAATTATTTAAATTTCCAAATATGAAAATAACAAACCTTACAAATGCAAATACGTCAGAATTAAGCGCGACTGAATCGTATCTGCCGTGTCTAAATACTGGATCAGTCCTCAGTTGAGCTAAAGCTTTGTACACATTTAGATGACTTATGTGTGCTCCTTCTTGTACTCCTACGTTTAAAGTTTCATAACCCTCAGCTACAGGTAACCATGTTCTATCAGCTGACGAAAATCCTTTAAAATTGGTATTAAATTATCAGTGATGTAAAAACAGAGAGACGATCAAAATTAAACAATTTCATACCTGCATTTTTCTCTGAGTTCCATTGGAATGGGGTTCGTTCAGGGTCTCTGGATTCCATCCAGTAATTGATTGGGTCATCCGTATTACATCCCCTTGGATCTACTGTATCTTCCCAGCTAATGAATCCATCTACCATTCCTATTTCTTCACCCTTTAGAAATGAATGAAAAAGTTTACCATAAAAACACCATCCAACCCAACATTTATTGATTTATGTATCCCATGTTATACACACGCTCAGTTTATCTAAACAGTCCGATCGTTCAGTCAGTTTCCTCAGTTCAGTCTTTAGTTTTGTATACACACGTCATATTTGTCTGAACGTTCAAACTTTTCAGATAAAACTGAGCGTGTGTAGCGGGCTTTAGACTTTAATACTTGATTCGAATTAATAGAAAGAAGCTTACCATATATGTTACAGCTACACCAGGCAATAGCAACACCAGCATATTTACACCGTCCACTAATTCAGGACCGAATCTTGAAGCTACTCTGTTGTTATCATGGTTTCCAGCCTGAAAGTATTTCTCATTACATATATTTAAGAAAAAAAAATGTAATATCTTAATAACACTTACCACCCAATTCGCCAACTTATCAACAGGTTTAAATGTTAAAAATTTGTCAAGCGCATATTTTATTTCTGCAGCGGAAGATGCTCCATTAACATCGGTTATCAAATTAAAATTGAATGGCATTTGGGCACCTTCCCGTTCACCATCACCGAAATACCTCATTGTTATCTCTGGACTCGCGTAAACCTCTGTCATCATAACTCGAGTTAAACCATCTTTATCTTTATATTCATCAAAAACTTCCCTCCACTGATAAACCATATCATAAGTTTCTTCTTGGTCTATTGTGTAAACGTGGCTTAAGTAATTATGACTTTCAGGATCATCATTGTTACCAGATAACGGCTCGTCAGGATATTTACCACCAAATAGTTCCTTATCCACTTCAAACAGATGTGCCACAGCATCTACTCTGAAACCAGCTACACCTTTGTTTAACCAGAACCTGAGAACGTCTTTCATTTCGTCTACTACTTCTGGATTACGGTAATTAAAATCAGGTTGTCCAATAGCAAATTGATGTAGGTAATACTTTCCAACTTCTTCTCTATACTCCCAAGCACTCTTACGAAATACACTATTCTGTTGAAGTAAAATACACATAGTTAATCAACGAGTTATTGCGATTGGTGTAACTTTTTTAATTTAAAATGAAAGGATTGATGAGTTTGCTTGTCATTCTCACTTAAACAGGAAGTTATATTAAAATCTTTAAAAATTTCGTCGAACTAGTTACAAAACATCAGTATATTTCAGTATTAACTACCCAGTTATTAGGCGGATGTAATGTTCCATTTTCGTCAACAACACCGTCTTCCCACATAAAATAATCATAATACTTTTCATTGCCTTTCAACGCTTCTTCAAACCAGACACTTTCATTGCTTCCGTGATTTGGTACAAAATCTAGGACGATTTTAATATCTGTAGGAAAATAAAATATTTCATTAATTATTAAAATTATTTGTAGAAATTAAATAATGCAGAATTAATCATTCTTACCCAATTCGTTTGCTTTTGCCATTAGTTTATCGAAATCCTCCATTGTTCCATATTCATCATTAATGGCATAAAAATCGGATATGTCGTAACCGAAATCGTACATCGGTGACTGAAACATTGGAGACAGCCATGTCGCTCCAATACCAAGTCCTTTCAAATATTCTAGCTTTGAAGTTATGCCTAAAGTAAAAAAATACCCTAAATTTCGTAGCGCGAATTTAACCTAAACTATTTAACTACGTCGTAGTCTTTGACTCCAAAAATCAAACACCCGACCGCCTTGCAAGCATTACCTTTCGGATAAAAAAAGAATTATCAAAATCGGTCCACTAGCGGCGGAGTTATGCCGTAACACACACAAAAAAAACATACAGACGAATTGAGTACCTCCTTATTTTGGGAAGTCGGTCAAAAACCATGGATTGATGGAATCCATCCGTTAGTTTTGTACAGAATAGCCAAATGACCTTAATTAAGTTATTTATTTAGAAATAAAATTTATTTCTGCGTTGGACATTATTTTATTACTTACCATTAAGATCACCTATTCCATCACCATCACTGTCCATAAACGATCTAGGATAAATTTGATAGAAAATTGTTGTTTCCCACCAATCCTGTTCTTTATCTTTCGTTGCTCCTTGAGCACACAAAAACAACATCGGCAATAGAAATAAGCTTTTATCTTTAACCCTGGAATCATATTAAAATGTAATACGATTAACAAGCGAAAAATATTTCAAACAAAATTATTATCGTGTAACTAACCTCATCATGTCAGAGTGAAATTGTAATGTTTTGAAGTACTTTATATACCTTGCTAGATATCTTAAATTTTGATAAGTAATACTACTTCAGATGAATCTAGATAAGCAGATATTCTAAATATATATAAGATACTAGCTTTCGCCCGCGACTCCGTCCACGTGGAATTAAAAAAAAAAACCAAAAAAGTACCCTATGTGTTCTTCCTGAATATCCTCTACATCTGTACCAAATTTCATAGAAATCCGTTAAGCCGTTTGGTCTACAAACTCTAACAAACATCCATCCATCTAAACTTTCGCATTTATAATATTAGTATGAAGTATTATCTGCATGTAACTAGCAATTTGATAAAATGTATAGGTGATTACTTTAATGTTACAAATATTCAAACTAAAGAATTTCTTTATCTATACTAATATTATAAAGAGGAATGATTTGTATTTTTAGATTTTTGTATGTATTTAAATAACTCAAAAACTACTGGACCGATTTCAAAAATTCTTGCACCATTAAAAAGCTATGTTATTACTGAGTAACATAGGCTATATTTTTCCTATTTTTTTTAATTTCACGCGGGTGAAGTCGTGAGCAACAGCTAGTATTAAATAATTTATGTATAGATTTACCACTGTTTTACCAGAACGTCATTTAACATCATGCATTACGATTTTGCGAGAACAAATCAACTTAAACTATCGCTGAACTGTTGTGCGATTGTCGATTGTTTCGACAATTTAACTGTTTACTCGTAGTTGCATAACTAAAAGTCGAGTAGTGTGCGCACATCTGAATCAAAGCGGTACTATACAGTTGTGCGATAGTTTAGTCAAATGTGTCTCTTACTGTTAAGAGACTGTAAGTGAACATTATAAACACTTGTGTATTATTACAAATTACCTAAATGTCGTTACTTAGTCTTTGATCAAAATATTATTGCTTTACGACTTTTAAACAAGATATTTAGATGCCTTAAAAAAATATTAGAATATCCTGTTCAAATTTAATTTAATTAAATATGGTAACTTCTAAATAATCGCATTTTTGCGTTACAACCATATTCATAGGAGACATCGTATGAGATAGGGTCCTCATACAGGCGGCTCCTTCATAAATAATTCTTATATTACTACTAATACGACTTATGTATAATTTATAAGAACGAATAAAGCTTTACTCAGCATGCAAATATTCTCTTGTAGAGTATAAGAAAATTAATAATGTTATGATGCATAAGTTCAAGGTTAGAATAGAATTTAATCACAAGTGTACAGAGTTTTACCAAATGAAAAGTAAGTAACTCAAATTACTTCAAATAGCAATGTATTTGAAATGAAAAAATAGTTTCATAATTATGGATTATTTATTTAATTAAATAAAAAAAAAATCATTGAACAACTTTTAATACCAAGGATTCCTGTCCATTTATTTGTATGTTTTCAGCTTCGAATATATCCCTGAAAATGAAAACAACATATTTAAAAAATTACGTCTTATTTTAGCTTAAGTTTATTGTACAGTTGCTTACATTGTAATTACATGTTTGTGCTACAAACGCGTAAGCCTACTTTGTATCTGAAAGCCACTAATTTGCGGTTACGCAGAGAGGCAAGCCAACCTTTCGTAGCAAAAGGTATCTCACTAAAAGCCATGAATTTGTAAATGGTTCCTAATCTCGGAACTATTTAATTCATAATATTTAAGCCTCAAATTTGATATCCAATTATTCCCCTATCTGTCTATTTTGCACACTCAAGGATAAACTTTTAAGTAGCAATTAGAAATGAATTCAAAGTTTTTGTGATTAAACTTTTTGTTAAAATAAACGTTACTTTAATAAATGTAGTATTTCTGCAAACGGAGAAAAGACCGTTATATTTACCCTGCAGTCTTCGCCGACTGGACACTACTAACGATGACTTCGAGTTGCCCTGTGACATTTTCAAAGTAGGTCAAGTCTAAATTGTAAATTTCATCTCTGAAATTAATAACCGCCACGTAGATCTCACCATCGTGCCACCTAGAAAATAAATTGAAAACCATTTTAGAAATAATATAGCAACACGTTAAATAAGTAATTATTTTATTGAGATAATACGTTAAAAACACAAATTAATACATTTTTTTTTATTATTACAAAATGACATTTATATTTTTTAATCATTTCATATCCCTACAGTACTATATAAGTGCTTCTCTCTACTAGCACAAAAACTAAATCCTACCATCATAGTGCAATTTCATTTTAACTTTAGTCACAATAGATTTGGCATGCCTTAATCAGTATTCATTCAAAGCAAAAATAACCAACCTTTTAAAAGCCAGTACGTCTGAATTGAGCGCGACGGAATCGTACCGTCCGTGACTAAATGCAGGCTCTGTTCTCAGTTTAGCCAAGGCCTTGTACACATTTAGATGACTCCTCTCTGTTGTTCGTTGAACTTCAACATTCAAAGTCTCGTAACCTTCAGCTACTGGTAACCAAGTTTTATCAGCTGTTGAGAATCCTAAGAAACAAAAATTAAACGTTAGAAAACGAAGACAATGTAGAGAGTTAAAAATTAACAAAATTGTATATGTAAATTTAACATTACCAGCATTTTTATCGGCACTCCATTGGAACGGTGTTCGCTCGGGATCTCTGGATGCAGTCCAATAGTTTATAGGGTCGTCAGTGTTGCAGCCGCTAGGATCCACCGTATCTTCCCAACTCACGTAGCCGTCTTTCATGCCAATTTCTTCACCCTGAGAAATTTAAAAACGTAATTTTCAATTTTATCGATAAGATTGTTAAATAATATATACAAAATAAAAATAAACAGTCACCATATATGTAACAGCCACGCCTGGTAGTAAAAGCACTAGTATATTAATACCATCAACCAGCTCTGGACTAAATCTTGAAGCAACTCTGCTCTTATCATGGTTTCCAGCCTGAAAAAAACATGTTGGAAAAATAATGGTCGGTACTGGGCGTACTATAATACATAACAGTGTTTCTAGACAGCAGTACTTACCACCCAATTAGACATCTTGTCAATTGGTTTAAAAGTTAAAAATTTATCAATAGCATATTTAATTTCTGCAGCGGATGATGATCCATCGACATCCGATATCAAAACAAAGTTAAATGGCATATGAGCACCATCCCGTTCACCTTCGCCAAAATATCTCATTATAATATCTGGACTTCCATAAGCTTCTGTCATCATTACTCTGGTAAATCCATCTGTTTCTTTAAACTCATCAAATACATCCCTCCATTGATAGACCATATCATAAGTTTCGTCTTGGTTTATCGTATAAATGTGATTTAAATAATCGTAACTGTCAGGATCTTCAGAATTCCCAGACAGTGGTTCATCAGGATATTTCCCACCAAATTCCTCCTTATTTACTTCGAATAAATGTGTTATAGCATCAACTCGGAAACCAGCTACACCTTTGTTTAACCAGAATCGTATAACATCTTTCATTTCTTCAACAACAGCTGGGTTTCTGTAGTTAAAATCTGGCTGACCGATAACGAATTGATGCAGGTAATATTTACCAACTTCTTCTCTGTATTCCCAAGCACTTTTACGGAATACGCTAACCTGTTGAAAAAATTTATCACACTGATTCTTTTATTTCTTACTTTACATTTTTAAAAATCTAACTAAACTATACTTCAAAGTTTTAATTGGATTTTATGAATTCAATAATAAAATATATTAATAGAAATTTACCCAGTTATTAGGTGGATGTAAAACTCCATTTTCGTCGACTACTCCATCTTCCCACACAAAATAATCAAAATATTTCTCATGGCCCTTCAGAGCCTCTTCAAACCAAACGCTCTCGTTACTTCCATGATTAGGCACGAAATCCAATACAATTTTAATATCTACGAAAAAAACAAAAAATGATATAAAAACACTTATTATTTAATACATTTGACACTTGTATTTATTTTTATTTATGGCTCGGTGTTTTTTTTTTTTTCAAATTAAATCTGCGTTTAGTTTGGAGATGTACTTATATCCTAAAACTTACAAAACATCTTTCTACTTAATATATTTTACCTAGTTCGTTAGCTTTTGCCATCAAGTTGTCAAAATCTTCCATTGTCCCATATTCATCGTGGACATCATAAAAATCGGAAATATCATAACCGAAGTCGTACATCGGTGATTTGAACATTGGGGACAACCATGTCGCTCCCACGCCGAGTTCTTTCAAATATTCCAACTTGGAAGTTATACCTGAAAAATCCAAAGACTTAATACTTTTGAAGTTACAAATTCAATGGCTTATAAAAGACTTATTTTATAGAAAAATACAATAAAACATTAAATTTAAGTTAATAACAATGTTAGAATTATACGGTGAATTTGAAGCTAAAACTTAAAAACATAAAGTATACTTAGAATCAAAATGTTATAAACAAAACAGAAAATAAGCCGATAGAAGACTTTTTTAAATTCTATGTGATAAGATACATTTACTAAGAATTTTTATATTAAGAAAAATCTTATATGAAATCAGAATTAATATAGAAACTTACCATTAAGATCACCAACACCATCACCATCGCTATCCATAAAAGATCTCGGATAAATTTGATAGAATATAGTTTTCTCCCACCAATCCAAATCTCGGGCATTTTTCGTCGCTTTTGTAAGTAAAAATAGCAACGGCAGAATGTAAATACTTCTCATTTTTAACCTAATAAAACAATTAGTCATGGTTTTTTTAATAAATTGAGTGTTTTTTAATATAGTTGCACAAAAACATACCTCATGATCCCGGTCGTCTAATGCACTTTAAAACTTTAATCTATCTTATATACTTAAAGATTGAGAGAGAAATATCTAAGAGATTGTGAAAGACTTTAGGAGTATTGAATAATCTGATAAGATGGAATCCACATCGCAACTAAAATGATATGAAAAATAACCTAACAACTGTTGTTATTTGAGGATTTTCAAACTTTAACCACCTTACAATTATAATAAGAGAAGAACGACCTTTAGCAACGAAGATACGAAGAAGAAGACAATAAGATATTGCATGATGCATTTAGTTTTTGATTTGGTGTTTAACATTAAAAATCGTAAGTATTTCGGAAGCAATACTCTTGTTGCTAAGTGGTAAGCTTGCGCGAGAGTAAAGCGGATTTCTATAGCGACTTATGTTCGGAAGCAATACTCTTGTTGCTAAGTGCCAAGCTTGCACAAGAGTCAAGCGGGTGTACCATAGTGAATTATGGTTTGCGGAGGAAATCTTGAGACGTTATATTTTACTGGTCAAATTACTTTGAAGAACTAAAATCAAATAGACTATTCAGTTATCTTTTACGTAAATATACGTCTGCTAGTTTACTACAAGGTTTTCGAAGTGCACTTTGCTATTCTGCATAATTATAACTAAAAATTAATAATAAAGAGGTGAATGAATAGGTGAAAAATTACTAATAATTAGCACGTTTAAGTATTTAGTATCGCCTCTTAATACTACGTGGGTGTATTGACAAGAATTAATTTATTTGTTAAAAATGTTACGCTTGATGTTTCTTAATCTATCCAGGCATTTTACTTAACAAAATGTACATCAATATTCATTACAACATTTGCAATAAGTAATATTTTGTAAACGAGATTTTCCTTAATCCATCGCTATTAAAATAAAATACCAAAGGCATTGAAACATGACTTTATTTACACACAAATTGTATTGCTTAGATCTAGATCAAACGTTTTAAACATTATTAATTTATGCATTGTGATTTTTACAAGTGCTTGAGAACGAGTCCTTCAAAGCCAACGACCGGTACAGCTGACGCAGGATACGTATCTCTGTAATCAAACCAATAACATTTTATTCAAATATTCTTTATTCTAATAGTAATCAGTATGATAAATAACATAATATTATTTAACATACTGATATAGTAACTAAGACTGTTTTACAAGTATATCTGTTGGTTTGATAATTAATTCTCGAGATATTAAATTTTATAATTAAATAATTCTTTAGAAGTCGTTTGACCGAGGGAAGTTTTACTCAATAAAATTTAACGACTTAAATGTTATTTGTTGTGTTGCAAACTTACCCCTCGTCTTTAGATGACTGTATGCTGCTAAGAACAACGGTAACATCTCCGTCAATATTTTCGAAATAAGTCAAGTCCAAAGTATACTCATTCTCCCTCATGTTCACTACCACTAAATAATATTCCCCTTGATACCATCTGAAAAGTTTATCACATCTTTAATCATGGCCATGTTCCAGTTCAAAATATTACCTTCGAATCGCATGTTTTCATTCTGAGGCATAAACGGAATTTTAGTGAGTGTTGAAACATGAAACGTAATATTTTCGGTACTGTCCTGAGATATTCTGAGGAAGAGATAGTAAAATATTGGTACCTTCTAAAAACAAAAACATCGTTGTTTAAAGCCAAAGAGTCATAGCGACCCAATCTGAAGACATCATCTCGGCGCAGATCAGCAAGCGCCTGGTAAACTTTTAAATGAGATTTTTCTGCCGCCTTCTGAACTTCGACATTCAATGTCTCGTATCCCTTTGCAACTGGCAGCCAAGTTTTCTCAGCGGTAGAGAACCCTGCATGTTTTATAATAAAGTTTAGAAGTGCATGCACTCTAAGTAAATTGTTTCATACTTTTTTTTTTCAAACAAATCAAATTATATTTCTGATATTGTTTTATAACAATAAAATACGAATTTCAAATCTACGTCTGTTACTAAAGATTTAAAATTGGTTACCGGCATTTTTCTCCGCATTCCAGTGGAATGGAGTCCTTTCCGGATCTCTGGAGCTTTTGTAGTAATTGATTGGGTCATTTGTATTACAACCAGAGGGATCAACCGTATCCTCCCAGCTTACCTCGCCGTCTAACATGCCAATTTCCTCTCCCTTTAACATTAAATATTAATTTCTTTTATCTATTAAATATAATATTTGTGTTGAATCAAATAATTTTAATTTATTTGTATTTTTAAATACCATGTAAGTAACTGCAACACCTGGAAGTAATAGGACGATCATATTGATTCCATCAACCAACGAAGAACCGTAACGTGACGCCATGCGACTATTATCATGATTCCCAACCTATAACCGATAAGATACAACTATCAATATGTTGACAAAATAACATACTTCAAAAAACACTTGTTTAGAAAAATTCTTACCACCCAGTTGGCCATCTTATCTACTGGCTTGTAAGTCAAGAACTTATCTACAGCCCGTTTGATATCAGCAGCTGACGAGGAGGCATCCACATCGGTTATCAAGTTAAAATTGAAAGGCATCTGAGCCCCCTTTCTCTCTCCTTCGCCATAATATCTTACAACATTTTGTATTGTCGCGTACACTTCTGTCATCATTACTCTTTCTAAACTATCTTGCGCAGATATTTCATCAAATATATCACGCCATTCGTATACCATATAATACGTTTCATTTTGGTCTTTTGTGTAAATATGCGATAGGTAATCATGAGAATCTGGATCGACATCAAGTCTGCCAGAGAAAGGCTCATCTGGATATTTACCATCGTATAGGTCTTTGTTTACTTCGAATAAACAATTTACAGCATCAACTCTAAACCCAGCAACACCTTTGTTTAACCAAAATCTAATTATATTCTGCAACAATGATTGTCAAATGATTCACCCTACAATTTTTGATCAAGTAAACATTTTGAGAAGAAAAACAAACCTTCATTTCTTCAACGACTTCTGGGTTGTGAAAGTTCAAGTCGGGCTGTCCGACAACAAACTGATGCAAATAGTATTGTCCAACTTCTTCTCTGTATTCCCAAGCGCTTCCTCGGAAATGACTTCTCTGTAAAGCAAAGACGTATTTCAAACCATGTCATAATTCAATTTAGATTCATAAGCGTAATACTACCATAACATAACTACAAAGAAAGTGTATAATTTACCCAATTATTTGGTGGCTGCATATTCCCATCTTCGTCAATCACACCGTCTTCCCAAACGAAATAATTGTAATATTTTTCGTTACCGTTCAGTGCTTCTTGGAACCACATACTTTCATTTGAAGTATGGTTTGGCACCAAATCTAATATTACTTTTAAATCTAAAAGAATAATTAGATATTTACAGCATTACTTTTATCAAAAGTTACGGACATTTCTATAAATGCATACATAACTATAGGCGTAAAATCTTTCTTCACTTGATATGTTATTTTTAAGTTCTTACCTAATTCATCGGCTTTAGCTACTAAGGCTTCGAAATCTTCCATTGTACCGTATTCATCATGAATAGCGTAGAAATCTGATATGTCGTAACCGAAATCGTACATTGGTGATTGGAAGATTGGTGAGAGCCAAACTGCCCCCGCACCAATCTCTTTCACATGTTCTAATTTTGAAGTAATACCTAAACATAATTTAAAGAAATTAGCTAGCTTTAATTTTCTTTTAAAATTTGTTTGCCAATTCATACTTTACCATTAAGGTCTCCAATTCCATCATTATCACTGTCTGCAAATGATCGGGGGTATATTTGATAAAAAATGGTATTTTCCCACCACTCTAGACCATTATTTTCATTCTGCTTTATTACATTACCACTAGATAAAATAATAAAAAGTGGCAAAAAAATTAATGACCTCATTTTCGGTCGCTACCACCACAGTCGAAGATAGAATGTTAAAAAACAATACAGAGAACGCAGGAAATTAATGATACTTGAGCCATTTCACTATTATCAATATAGATTGTCGCCTGCGTCCCAGATAAAAACTTTTCCATTGACAACAATATCGCAGTGGCAAATAATCCTACTAACTTGAATACAATAAGTTTAGTATATTAAGATGTATTGAAAATGAATAGAAAGATGTAGATTGATAATGAAGGTATAATAATGAATGAATAAGATATAATAAGAATAATAATAAAGGTAATCTATCTGAGAATAATTGTCGTAACTTTCATAACTTCAAGTCTTTTTATTGCTACTAAATAATACGTAATTGAAAATCCCAATTTAGTACAAACCATCAAATAACATATGTTCATACGCAAAGAATGAGATATCCCATCGGACATAAAAATCAACAAACATAAAGATGATTTGCCGTGCATAGTACAGATAAGGTGAGGATGTAGATTTCACAATGAGAGTAATATACAATGTCAATCATGCTATAGTAGATAAAATGTTATCTGTATTGGATTGTTTACCACTTATCCAGAGTGTAGAAGGCATTACAGACCTTGTTTTAGTAAAGTATCAGAATTAAAATAAATAAAATAACGTTACGATCAAACAATTTAAAATGTATTATAAAAAGACAAAAGTACATAGTTCCAAAATAATGCCGGAAACATAAAAAATCATAGAATATAATGTCTCATCATACGGAAAAGAAATATTTAAACTTGCATCCGTAGAACTAAAGCTTCGTCTGCGGATAAATCCAAATATGTCGCCAAAACATTATCACTGAAACATAAAACAATGTAAAAGTCTTTATAAGAACTCTATAAGTTAAAGTAGAAACGTTTATTTCAATTACCTGTAAGAACGTGACGACTGAACGCTACTGGCTTCGACCTCCAGCTGACCAAAAATTAAATCAAATACCGTCAAATTAACGATCTGGTAAGATTTGCCCAAATTCATTACTATAACATAGGTATCGTCGTTGTACCACCTGAAACGGGGATAATAAAAAGTCTATTACTAAAAACAAATCAAAATCTTACTAATAACATAAATACGAAAGTTTAGATGGATGGATGGATGTTTGTTAGACTTTGTAGCCTAAACGGCTGAACGAATTTCGATGAAATTTAGCATAGATGTAGAGAATAATCTGGAAGAACACACGCGGACGGAGTCGCGGGCGAAAGCGAGTTATAAAATAAAACTTTGAAATCAAGTCAATCAATACTGAGGAATTAAAAAGTGCAGAAAATGTATCGAAGCATGCAAATCTGACTAAAAGCAATACAGTAGGTTATTAAGACTACCGATTACCAGTATTTAAACATATTAATAACAAGCCAGTACCTTTTAAAAGCAAAAACGTCTTGGTTAATAGCCAGTGATTCAAAACGGCCCAAACGAAATGCAGGCCGAATACGCAGGTTACTTAGTATCCGATAAACTTGATAATGCGATCTCACAGCATTTCGTTGGATTTCTAAATTCAAATTTTCGAAACCATCTGCCACTGGTAGCCATGTTTTGGCTGCAGTTGAAAATCCTGGAAAAGGTGTATACAATATTAAAAATATCATATCTATTGTTTTTGCAAGTTCATTTCACAAACAATGAGAATAATTTCAAATACAAATTTTTCTGTTTAATCAAACACGTTGATGTTTTTGTATACATCTATGATTTACCTGCATTTTTGCCATTGTTCCACTGAAATGGCGTCCGCACGGGGTCACGTGATACATCAATAAAGTTCACCGGATCGTTCGTGTTGCAAGCTTGCGGATCCTTCGTTTCAACCCACGGTACAAATCCATTTATCATTCCTATCTCCTCGCCCTGTACAACAAAATAACAAGCAGAAGTTTGGACATATTCTGAATCAATTTGTTAGGTATAGTCAAGGATAGAAATCGGTTCGTCGTTTTACTTTTTAAAATAAAATTCACTTGATTAAAGGTTATGAAAATTTAACAAAATTGAGATCAGATATAAAAGTTACTCAAAATAACCGGTTGGTATTTGCTTGTTTGCAATTCCCGTATTAATTTAAGATTAGTATTCAAAAGATATGTTAAAAATTGTTTCGAAACTTTAGTGTGAAATAGTGATGCTTACCATGTATGTAAAAGCTACCCCAGGAAGCAACAGAACAAGCATATTAAAGGCATCTACTAACTCTGGCCGAAAACGCGTCGCTAAACGGCTAGTGTCGTGGTCTCCTGTCTAGAACGATGCTATGATTATTTATATTAGCTTGGAATATTCATAGTCACTTATCCTTAATCTGTTGAACTGGTCTATGTGATCTGGAGGATTTAAATTCATCACAGAACTTACCACCCAATTTGCTGGTTTCCCCAAAGGCATGTACGAAATCCATAGATCTATGGCGTGTTTTAGATCTCTTGCATCCAACTCTTTCGAGGTTAGTTCATCTATTAGTACGGTGTTAACGGGAATGTGTGCTCCAAGGTGATAATTATCTCCGTAAAACCGTACCGCTGTTTTAATCGGACTCTTTGCTACTGTCATCATTATTCTATAGCAAAATAAATATTAAAATAATTGATTACAGTACATCTTAGCTCTAAAGAGTATTACTTGAGATATAGTACCTTGTAAAGTTATTTCTTACACTCATAGCATCGAACACATCCCTGAACTGCGCCACAATGTCAAAAGTTTCTTCCTGGTCTTTAGTATAAATGTGAAACAGATAGTCGTAATCATCGAAAACTGCTCCAGGCTTTCCGGTTTTAGGCTCGTCCGGAAACCGTCCACCGAATGTATCTTTGTCGGTTTCGAATAAATAGTTAACTGAACCCAATCTCATACCAGCTACACCTTTTTCTAGCCAGTATTTGACAATGTTCTAAAAAAACAAGAAAGTATTATCCGAAAGCCTATCGTTAGTTTTTTAAAAAGTATCTCAATTTTTTCCGTGACGTTGTATACCTTCATTTCTTCCGCTACCACAGGATTTCTATAATTTAAATCAGGCTCCGCAGGACTAAACTGATGAAGGTAGAACTGATCTCTGGCCTTTGAATACGTCCAAGCACTTTTCCGAAATACGCTTACCTTTAAAAGTATATCATCACTATGATCTTAGTTGTATTGTTATGTATTATTAATTAAGGATAACTAATATATCAGTATTTTCTCCTCACCCAATTATTCGGTGGCTGTCTTCTACCATCAGCGTCTATATGACCATTCTCCCAAACATACCAATCACTATAGTACTCATCTTTGTTAGATGACTTCATAAACCAATCACTTTCATTACTCGTATGATTAGGAACGAAGTCCAGAACAATTTTAATATCTAGAAAAATTTTCAACTTTACAATTCGATCAAATGTAAAATGCCACATTCCTAGCGATGTGAATAGTTAATATTATAAATGTAATCTTATTACTTACTTACATTACCAAATTAGTATTTTATAGGAAGTTTGAGAGTAGCCCCAGTGGTAGATAAAGTAAGGAGTAAAAGGTAAGCATCTTATGGGCATATTATGAGGAGGGATGAATCGCATGTAAGAAGGAGAACGTTAATTATTGGTGTGAAGGTACACCGGTAAAGGCAGACCTAAAAAAGATATGCATGGATCGCGTGAAAGGTGACGTGATGAAAAAAGCGCGATGAATGAAATGTATGATAGAGTTATGTGGAGGACAAAAACCTGTTGCGCCGACCTTACTGGAGTAGAATACGAAGGAAGATGATGACTTACTTAGATTGTTAGCTTTTTTAATGAGCTGTTCGAAATCTTCCAAGCTTCCGTATTCTGGCTGTATGGAGTAGTAGTCAGAAATGTCGTAACCAAAATCAAACATAGGAGATTTAAATATTGGTGACAGCCACGCCGCATCCACTCCAAGGTCTTTTAAATAATCCATACGTGATATGATACCTGTACCAAACATTATTTACATTAAGGATGGGAAAAGGAAATATCCTATTTATGTGCGTTTCCTCCTCCGCTATTGCGAATGTATGGACAGCGATCACTCAGCCATTTTGGCGGATTCAGGTGGCCGCCTACTCGTTTGCCACCATATAATGTAAAAAAAAATCTGGTGAATGTGCCTTAAACAAAAATTCAAATTCTTTGTTTGAGTCATGGAAAGTAATGGGTGCTGTATCTTTTCAAGTTCCTAATGTAACTTTCTTTTTTTACTCTTTACTTCGAAAACCATCAACCATCGCAAGTAAACTAACCTAAGTATTTGTATTCAGTCATTTTAGGTCATGTTACACGTTCCTTATTCTTTTCTATGTTTTTAATACGTTAAGAGACTGTCCCACACTTCTTGTAAATTGTCAGATAACAATCGAACGTATAAAAATGTGATGGAAGTATCGGATTTTGATACTTTATGTGACAGTGACGTCACTTTTAAGCTATCTGAGCCTCTATCAGCGAGCGGTGGGACAGGCCCTGAATTACAAAAAATTGTAGTTAATTACCATTTATGTCCCCTATCCCATCTCCATCACTGTCAACAAAGGATCTCGGATATATTTGATAGAATAATGCTGTTTCCCACCAATCAGTCCTTACGTTGACGTTTTCATATCTTGAGTAAACTCCAGTAACAAGTAGTAAGTTTATTATTATTTCTCTAACTGGAAATAATACTGGGATTTTTAAAAAATACAAAGTAATTCCACCTATTAAGTTATATTTTAATTCAACAGGTGTTTCGAAATTCAGTAGCTTCTTTTTTTAATCATTTCGTGTTATCTAAAAATTCTTTGAGACGTAATTGGAGTTAACGTCGCTTTGAAGTATAAATCCTTTGAAAGGGCCTTAATAATGTAGGATAAAGATACTTTTTATCAAACCTTTGAAGTAATTCTATGCTGTTTAGGAGATAATCACGACAAATATATTGAGTATTTTAGATAAATTAGTGAAAATTAGAATAGCAAAGATTTTAATTGCACTAGTTCATATAGGTATGTTATGCAAAAGAATACATTTTTAATATG